CTTGCTACTCCACATTCAAATCAAACGTGAAATTATGCATAAATTCTCTTACCAACATAACATGAGAATTATCACACCATGACAAATGATAATTCAAGCAAGCGCTGCAAATAACGTGAAGGCTAAATTGTGCCTTAAACTGTATCATGATTTCTCCCAAAGGAGCTCTGAACTGAAGTAATTAAATCCATACATAACAACGTATTTGAAAAGATGTGGACAAACCACTAATAGCACTGAGTATCTCACCTTACGTAATGAATCGTGTGGAGCAAAATTGCAGGGAAACGAGATTCTTGATTGTATATTCAAAGATTTAATGTTTTCTTTCTCTTCTTTGCAAAATAAATATTTTATAGAGGAACAGAGACAGATCGAAACTAAAGAATTACTGGGATGAATAATGATATGAGATAATAATGCGTCTCACCTCTATTTATAATGAATTAACCGAAGAGTTTTGTAGAAATTAATCACTTCATTTAGGATCCGGTGTCTATCCCAAGCAACCGACCGTATTTAATCAAACTATATCAAACAAACTTTGAATTTATCTTGATTGTCATGCCATACTTATCTACACACGTGACTGCCTAAACACTGGCCTAGTAAAGATGGAGTTTTTATATGAATTGGTGATTGACTTCAGATGGGAATAATATTAAATTAGTTATAATATCATTAAATTAAATGAAAGGGTTTGTTTACTATTTAAATTAAACTAGATAATCCATTAAGTGACCAAGCTCACATCCCACAAGTTTATTTGATATTAAACTGATCGGTGGCTTCTTATTGTATTTTGCCAAGTTTCGTATCAACTGCAATTTCATCGAGGAAACGATAAAGAGGCATTATAATTGTATGCCCTTTGCACACGTGGAAGGGTAATACAAATCGGCCCCCTAATTGCATGGGCAATACATATTTTATTCTAATAAAACAACTTAAATAGATAACTAATTAGTCTCCCGTTTCGATCGAATCAAAATAAATGGAAGAGTGTTTCAAATGAGAAAAACTTAACTAGTTTAATTAATTGGAGTCCTAATTATTCTAACACTAAAATTATTAGGAAACTTTATCCAATGCGTACAAATTAGCTAGTTTAATTAATTATAGTTCTAATTATTCTAATACTAAAATTATTAGAAAACCTTATCATAAATCAAATCCTACAATACATGATTAAGAACAATAGTTTCTATCCTAGTTAAAGTAGATTAGCATTATAAAGGAATTTAATAGTTTCTGGAAAATTATTATGATTAAGTTTTAATCAATTATCTTTAAATTTTATAATTATCAATACTAAACATATTTTATTCCTAATGGCCGAGAATTGTAAACTGTATGCATGGTAAATAAATTAGAATTTCATTTATACCTTGATTCTTCCATTGATTCCATCTTAATTCAACTTATCCAAAATATCATTTTCTTAATCCTAATATATATAATTAATTATTATCTATCAAAGGAGTCCAATATTGATATAGCAATTTAGTCCATATTGATAACTAATATTATTAACTAAGTAGTTTTCTTAATTGGCTATAACTCGAGTTTAACTTGACCAAATTAAATTTTTCTTGAGTCCATAATTCGCCATTTATTACGAGCTTCAAAATGAGCCCAATATTGAGAGGGTAATTCTAACTTCTACAATAATTAACTATTTGGCCTATTTAATAAAGGTATAAAATCTGAAACTTATTTTCACTTTGGTCCCTCAACTATAAAGATGTTCACATAGATCCAAATTAACTATAGAGATAACCAATTAACTTGTATAAGGACTTAACTGAACATTGCATTCCTATTAAATAAATTAATGCTAAGTAAAAATTCGGGATTTTACATTTTCTATGTCGTAAATGGGTCTCAAATGAGACTAGAAATCTGAAGTATACTTTAGCCATCCAATAATCATGTCTTAGTGCCACTATGGTGTTTAAAATTTTTTGAGATTCTATAGAAAAATTGTTTGAAATTTATATTGTCAAACAGGATAATGTCACATAGCAAAGTGTAAACTAAAGTGTACACCATAGTGTACGTGTAGTAAGGTTCTTACTGATTGAACTTTGCAACTTGTGCACTGATTTTTGACATATTGGTTGACACTTGCATTGTTGTGAAGTGTCAGTAGGATGGGAGATTGTTTGAAATTTAAAGTATCCAGCCGTGTAATGTCATGCGGCAAAGTGTGAATTAAAGTATACGTCATAGTGCACATGTAGCAAGGTTCTTACCGATTGAACTTTGCTATTCGTACACTGATTTTTGACACGTTGTTTGACACTTGCATTGTTGTCAAGTGTTAAATTGGATAGGAAAACTGTTTTAAATTTATACTGTCAAACAGGGTAATGTCATATAGCAAAGTGTAAACTAAAGTGTACACCATAGTGTACGTGTAGCAAGGTGCTTACCGATTGAACTTTGCTATTTGTACATTGATTTTTGACACGTTGGTTGACACTCGCATTGTTGTCAAATGTCAATTTGATGGGAGAATTGTTTGAAATTTATACTATCCAACCGGGTATTGTCATGTGGCAAAGTGTAAACTAAAGTGTGCACCATAGTGTACGTGTAGCAAGGTTTTTACCGATTGAACTTTGCTTTTCGTACACTAATTTTTGACACATTGGTTGACACTTGAATTGTTGTGAAGTCTCAATTGGATGGGAAATTGTTTGAAATTTAGACTATTCAACCGGGTAATGTCACGTGGCAAAGTGTGAACCAAAGTATACGCCATAGTGCACATATAGCAAGGTTCTTACCGATTGAACTTTGCTATTCATACACTGATTTTTGACACATTGTTTGACACTTGCATTGTTGTCAAGTGTCAATTGGATAGGAAAACTATTTTAAATTTATACTGTCAAACAGGGTAATATCACGTGGCAAAGTGTAAACTAAAGTGTACACCATTGTGTACGTGTAGCAAGGTTCTTACCGATTGACCTTTGCTATTTGTGCACTGATTTTTGACACGTAGGTTGACACTTGCATTGTTGTCAAGTGTCAATTGGATGGGAAAGTTGTTTGAAATTTAAACTATCTAGTCGGGTAATGTGACGTGGCAAAGTGTAAACTAAAGTGTACAAGATAGTGTACATGTCGCAATGTTCTTACCGATTGAACTTTTCTATTCGTACGCCGATTTTTGACACGTTGTTTGACACTTGCATTATTGTCAAGTGTCAATTGGATGGAAAAATTGTTTGAAATTTAAACTATCCAACAGGGTAATATCACGCGGCAAAGTGTAAACTAAAGTTTACACCATAGTGTACATGTAGCAAGGTTCTTACCAATTGAACTTTGCTATTTGCGCACAGATTCTTGACACGTTGTTTGACACTTGCATTGTTGTCAAGTGTTAATTGGATGGGAAAATTGTTTGAAAGTTAAACTATCCAACCGGATAATGTGACATGGCAAAGTGCAAACTATAGTGTACACCATAGTGTACATGTAGCAATGTTCTTATTGATTGAACTTTGCTATTCATACATTGATTTTTTGCACGTTGTTTGACACTAGCATTGTTGTCCATTGTCAATTGGGTGGAAAAAAACTGTTTGAAATTTATACTGTCAAACAGGCTAATGTCACGTAGTAAAGTGTAAACTAAAGTATACACCATAGCGTACGTGTAGCAAGGTTCATACTGACTGAACTTTGCAATTTTTGCCCTGATTTTTGACACATTGGTTGACACTTACATTGTTGTGAAGTGTCAATTGGATGGGAAATTGTTTGAAATTTAAACATCCAACCAGGTAATGTCACGTGGCAAAGTGTGAACTAAAGTATACGCCATAGTTTATATGTTGCAAGGTTCTTACCAATTGAAATTTGTTATTTGTACACCGATTTTTGACATGCAGTTTGACCCTTCCATTGTTGTCAAGTGTCAATTGCATAGGAAAACTATTTTAAATTTATACTGTCAAACAGAG